CCCGCCTTCACCCAGGCTGGGCCGTACCCCAAGAGAAGGGCAAGGTTGGCCCATGTAGGGTTCCCCAGCAGGTGGTCAAGCCCTGACCTGTGGACGGGGCCTGCGGACAGTGCTGGAATGGAATGGAGTGCAATGGAATGTGTCCAAGGATGTCCTCATCCTCTCCAGGCCAGAAGATAACATGTGCAGGAGTGGAGATTTCAGAGGCAGAGAGAACAGGAGAGAATCCAGAAGCCTCTTCCCAGAACCCCCAGCCCCTGCAGAGAGAGGACCCCCAGGCCTCCGAGAGGCTGTGCAGATGACACAGGAGCTCTGCTCCTCAGCACATGGACGCCCTGCTTAGGCCTCTCACCAGGCTCTCCCCTCTACCTGCGGGTGCCTTGAGACAGGACAGCCATGTTTCCCTTTGAGCTTCCATTTCCCCTCCCGACCTGGCCAGAGCAGGCCCAGGTGTTCTCTGAGGTCCCTTCCAATGTGACAGGCCAAGGTGGGTGTGTGCACCTTGCACTGCAGGGACAGAACATGCAGATCCCGACTGAAGGAGAAAGACTTTAATCCTCCCCTTTCCAGGCCAGGGCTCCAGTTAAGACAAGCAGAAGTGCTGTTGTGCGGGGTACTGGAGTCTCCTGTGCTCGGGTTTCTTGCTGTCCTGGTAGGGCCTCCACTGCACCCACATGGCTCAAGACGGGTGTGGTGAACACCGAAGCTACAAGGTCTCCTGGGTGGTGGGGTCATGTGACTTCACAAGGCTTTGCAGGTGTCTGACTGCCTTCTTCACCCTCTGGTCGTTGGGGTCTGAGCAGATGACCTGCCCTGGACAGTAACAAGTCTACAGAGAGGAAGAAACCATCAGAGTCCTGGGACCATCCCCACCCTGCACTGACCAGGAGCCTGAGGCCCAGGGTCACATGGGACATCGATGGCAGATCTGAGATATCAGGTTATGTCCTCTGGGATTCTCAATCTTCCATGAGTCCGAGCCTTGATCCTGCCACTGCAAAGAAACTGTGGATGCTGCGGGAAGCCAGGGCTGCAGGACTGCTTGTCCCTCTCTACGGACTGTCATGTCTCAGAGACCTACAGAGGCTGTCCATCAGCCGGAAAGGCTGCGGTGAGCCCTGGCCTTCTCAGTTCTCCTCTGGCCCCGGTGAGAGACCACATCAGCCCCTGGTTTGCTGCATGACCAAGGGGTCATCCCATCCATCTCTGGGCCTCAGTTTCTCAAAATGTAAATCCAGGACTTGGACCCTGTGGCCAGGTCCCTCCAGGCTCTCAGTGCGTGGTCTGGAACAGCCCAGAGGAACAGGGCTGGCTGGTCAAAGGGAAGAAGGAAGAAGAATCCTGCTCTCCCCTCTCCCCAAGGTGTGGTCTGGGGGCTCCAGGGGCTGCCTCCTCCCATGCCCAGCTCCCAGGATGCCTGGGGTGGAGCAGACTTACACGATGGCATCCCTAGGACACTCTACCAAGGTCCCGTGCCACGTGACAACCTTTCAGATATGAATGGCTCCTTTGAAATACTCAAGGCAGCACTCCTGGCCGACACCAGCCCTCGAGCTGCAGAGAGCTGGTGCAGGACTGCCTGTGTGAGGGTGTGGTCTGCAGGGTGTACCATGTGTACCACTAGGTGTGTCTGTGGATGTAGGGGTCTGTGGGGTACTCCATGTGTGTCTGTGTATGTGAGGGGTCTGTGTCATGTGTGCATGTGTGTCTTATGTGTGTCTATGGGTGTGGGAGGGGTCTCTGTGTGTCTGTGTGTGTCTGTGGGGGGGATCTGTATGTCTATGTGTGCACATGTGTGTCTGTGTGTGTATGTATGTTGGGGGGTCTGTGTGTGTCCTTGTGCGTGTGCTTATGTGTGCATGGGTATCTGTGATCTATATGTGTCTGTAGATGTGGGGGTCTGCAAGGTGCACTGTGTGTGTCTGTGTATGTGGAGGTCTGCGGGGTACACCATGTGGTGTGTCTATGGGAGGGTCTGTGTGTGCATCTTGCTTGTGCCCATGGGAGGATGATTTGGGGGCCTCCTGCATGTGTGCATCTGTGCATGACTGTACATCAGATGTGCACGCACTCAAACCACCACCCCCTTCACCACCTCTGGGCCAGGCTCTGGCTGAGCCTTTCCCGGCAGCAAGTAATTCAGGCCTCACAACCATATCTGGGAGGCAGGTTCTCTATTACTCCGTTTTACAGATGATCAAATGGAGGCCCAGAGATGTGAAGACACTTCAGACCTCAGTTTTCTCATCTGTGTGTGTGTGTGGGGGGGGGGGGGGGGGAAGATATCCAAAACTTGGAAATGGGCAAAATGATGATTATGTTGCTTTTAAAAGTATATATTATACATTTTCTATGCATTTCTCCCCCAGCTGTCCTCGGACTCTCCCAGGGATAAAATTCAGTTTGACTACCTCTGATTGGGGCCCCGCCCTTTCACAGCCCTGTGAACTTAGAGCAAACTTACAGCAAACTTAAGGGTGGGACGACATCATTTGTCTGATTGAGAAGATAACCTGACCTCCAGTCCTCACCCTAAGTACTTCTTCATCTGGCTGTTCATTTGTATCCTTTACAACAAAATGGTAATCGTAACGTTTTCTCCTGAGTTCTGTGCACTGTTTTAGCAAATTACTGAAGTGGAAGAGGGGGTCATGGGAACCCCCAATTTGTAGCCATGTCACACAGAAGCATGGGTAACCTGGGGACCCTCTACTTATAACTTGTGTCTGAAGTGCGGGGCAGTCATGTGGAACTGAGCCCTTAACCTGTGGTGTCTTCACTAACTCTGGAAGTGTCAATTGTTAAAACTGTAGCACACCCAGTTTGTGTCTGCAGAGAATTGGAGAATCGTGTAAAAAACCAACACATTTGGTATCAAAGGTCTCGTGAAAAGCAGTTTTTCTTTACTACCAGTAACAGGTGATGACCCTATTTTCTCCATACTCAGTTATACTGTCCTGGTGTCCACAAATAGATTCTGCTGTAGGATTTATTGAAGAAAACCATCACCTAGAAATGGACTTTTACTAAAAATTATTCAAGGATTCTGGGACAATAAATCCTCACCTTAACATGCAAAAAGAGGGACAGAGAGAGATTTCAGATTTTTAAAAATCTGATTTCTAACTTCTTGAAGACTCAGAATATTTGGCATTACTGGAATTGCTTTGCTGCCTATCCAGAATTTGCTACAGCTGAGTAGAGGCTGCCTTCTTTAGGTAGGACATGCACTCTTCAATTCTCCACCCTGCCTACTCCTTATTGTCACTCTGAGCAGCCTCATTCATCTATCTGACTTTGAGGACATTTAAGTATCTCTGGGCCTGCAGGGATGCTTATGAGGATTTGGAGTTTGCTGGTGATGGTTAAGTCTCATTTACTAGCGATTGCTTTTCTCCTGTTTTTATCTGTGACATGTCAGAAGACCTGGAACATGAGGATCTGAAGGAACAGTGATGCTCCCAGTCCAATTATCTTAAATAATTGTCCCACATTCAGAAAACCTCCAGTGGTTTTGAACCTCATTCTAAACTAAATGCAGACTAGCTTCTGTTCTAAGGAGCCTGGGGGCCAGAGACAGCATACGCCTTACAAAGCTCACAGGTGGGCATGGTGAGGAGAGGGTGTGTGGCACTTGGGGGATGGCAGAAGTTATCTTGTCCTTTTCTTGCCTGTGTTTTCTGGTCCCTTTCTTACTACTTACTATTGGGCCTGCTGTTCTTCGGCTTCCTGAGAGTTAGCTTGCCTGCTCCTATTATTGCTTAGAATTTTTTATTTATTTTTTTTTTGAGACAGAGTCTCGCTCTGTCACCCAGGCTGGAGTGCAGTGGCACAATATTGGCTCACTGCAGCCTCCGCCTCCTGGGTTCAAGTGATTCTCCTGCGTCAGTCTCCTGAGTAGCTGGGACTACAGGCATGCACCACCATGCCCGGCTAATTTTTGTATTTTTAGTAGAGACAGGGTTTCACCATGTTGGCCAGGGTGGTCTCCATCTCCTGAGCTCGTGATCCGCCCACCTTGGCCTCCCAAAGTGCTGGGATTACAGGCGTGAGCCACTGCGCCCGGCCTATTGCTTAGATTTTTTTTAAGTGTTGAGAGATTCCCTTCTAAAGAGTATCTTGAGGCTTCCAAGATTTTCATCAGAGACCTTGAAAACCATCAATGAGACTGGGAATCCAAGACAGCCACCTTCCTTCAGGACCTGAAAAGCCATGTGTTTATGCAAGAGTTCCAGTTATTACAAAATATAAATGCGGTAACATGCTATCTTGTTGACTACATTTTATACTTACATAAAGGGCATCTATAGTAAATGTCATTTTTGACAGCTGCATAGTATTCCACGTATGCATATATAACAATGTAATATGCAAAAAACTTACTAATTTTCACTCCTTAGAGTACCACCAAGACTGAGTATCTCTTCTTACTTTAACAGTCATTTTTTTATATCTGTTTAAAAGCTGCCTGTTAGTGTCAGTGTCTAAATTACTTATCTTTAGATATTAATGTTTTAAGAGATAGAGTCTTACTGCCACCCAGGCTGTAGTGCAGTGGTGGTCATAGCTCACTGCAGCCTCAAATTCCTGGATTCAGGTGATCCTCCTGCCTCAGCCTCCCAAGCAGCAAGGACTGCAGGCACACACCACCATGCCTGGCTAACTTTTTTTATTTTTTGTAGTGATGGGATCTTGCTATGTTGCCCATACAGATCTGGAACTCATGGCCTCAAGCAATCTTCCCGTCTCAGCCTCCCAAAGCACTGAGACTACAGATCTGAGCCACCATGCCCAAATACTATACTTTTATATCACAAATTTTACAAAACTATTTCCACATTTTGTGCTTTATCTTTTAAACTTTAAAACAAAAACATACATGAATATTTAGTTTTCAGTAGTCAATTTATCAGTACATACCCTGTGGCTAGTTTCTGACTTTCATCTAATGCTTAGAGAGGTTTTCTCAATTACATGAAAATTAAAAATGTACTCATATCTTTTTCCTTTTTTAAATAAATCTTTATTTTTCATCTTTTCAAAAGTAATACATGCTTGTTGTCAAAAATTAAACAAATAAATTAATGCGGGTAGAGTATCTTTAGTATGGGTTTTCCTATCCAACAACAAGGCTTCTCTCTCTCTCCATTTATTCAAATTTCCTTTCTAAAGTGGCTCTCAGTGAAGACTTAAATTTCTCCATACAAGTCTTCCATAACTGTTTATTTCTAGAAAATCTACTTTTCTTGATGCTGCTGGGAATGAAATCTTTTCTTTCATTATATTTTCTAATTCCTGTTGGTACAAAACAAAGCTCTTTATTCTTGGATGTTTCTCTTTAAGTGGTCATCCTTTCTTGATTAAAAATTGAATAGAATAAAAACTGTTTCCCTATGAAGACTCTGCCATATTCTTTCCCTCTTGGGGGTTTTTCAATGGGTGAATCTGATGATACTTGATCCATTTTGGCATTAATCTTGAGAGTTTTCTACATCTTTCTCATTATTAGGATTTTCCTTCACTATGGACACTCTGATGCTGACTGAGCTGGAAGCTAAACCTGAATGCTTTCCCACACACACTACACATATAGGGTTTCTTCCAAGTGTGGACTGTCTGATGTATAATGTAGTCAGAACTAAAGCTGAAGCCTTTGCCACATTCCACACATCTGAAGGGTTTCTCCCCAGTGTGGCTTCTCTGATGCCGAATTAAATGGGCATTAACATGGAAGGCTTTTCCACACTCTTTACACTGAAAGGGTTTCTCTCCAGTGTGAATTCTCTGGTGCACAATATAGTTAGAACTACAGCTGAACGCTTTCTCACATTCCATACATTTGAAAGGTTTCTCCCCAGTATGTATCCTCTGATGCCTAGTTAGTTTGGCATTGATACTGAAGGCTTTCCCACATTCCTTACATTGATAGGGCTTTTCTCCAGTATGGATTCGGTGATGATCAAGTAGGTTTCTTTTAGAAGTAAAGCATCTCCCACATTCATTACATTCAAAAGGCTTCTCCCCAGTGTGAATTCTCTGATGCCTCATTAGTTTCCCATTAACGCTGAAGGCCTTTCCACACTCATTACACTCATAGGGCTTCTCCCCAGTGTGAATTCTCAGATGCTGCCGAAATTGGGAGTTACACCTGAAGGCTTTCCCACATTCATTACACTCATAGGGTTTCTCGCCTGTGTGAATTCTCTGGTGTTGGATTAACTTCCCTTTGACACTGAAGGCTTTTCCACATTCAGTGCATTCATAGGGTTTCTCACCTGTGTGGATTCTCTGATGCTGAATGAGTTTTGTATTATTATTGAAGCCTTTTCCACACTCTTTACACTGATAAGGCTTTTCTCCTGTGTGGATGCTCTGATGCTGCCTAAGCTGGGAGCTGCACCTGAAGCCTTTTCCACATTCATTACATTCATAAGGCTTCTCCCCAGTGTGGATTCTCTGATGCTGAATTAATTTTGCATTAACATTGAAAGCTTTCCCACAGTCATTACACTCGTAAGGTTTCTCCCCAGTGTGGACTCTCTGATGTGTAATATATGCAGAACTACAGCTGAAGCCATTTCCACACTCCTTGCACTGATAGGGCTTTTCTCCCGTATGGATTCTCTGATGCCTACTTAGACTTCCATTAACACTGAAGGCCTTCCCACACACCTTACACTGATAGGGCTTCTCCCCACTGTGGATTGTCTGATGTGTGATATAATGGGAACTGTAGCTGAAGCTTTTCCCACACTCCACACATTTGAAGGGTTTCTCCCCACTGTGAAGTCTTCGATGCCAAATTAATTTCTCGTTAATGCTGAAAGCTTTGCCACACTCCGAACACTGATAAGCCTTTTCCTCAGTGTTGTTTTCTTGATGTTGATTAAGTTGAGAGTCACACCTAAAGGGCTCCACTAATTCTTCACATTTGAAAGGTCTTTCCTCAGAATTAATTATTTCATGCTTAACGAGTTTTGTATCAAAGCTGATGGCTTTCCCCAATCCTGTACACCCAGAGCGCTGCTCTCCCCTGATGGTATGACACTGATATGAGTTCGAACTTTGACTAAAAAAACACTCCTCCATGGGGCTTGTCTCATCTTTCACTGTTCCATCAATGCTGTTGCTCTTCTCCTTCTTTGTATTTCCTGTTGAGTAGACTTCCTGTTGTTTCTCTAGAAGAGAGGCTTCTGAAAAGTCTGTTTCCTGGGAAAAGTCCCTTTGAAGTTCAAATGATACATTCTCTTTTCCTTCATACATTTCCTTTGTCAAATCATTGTCAGTCTGAATATCTACTATAAAAAACAGAGAACATAAAATGTCATGTAAGAACCATGTTAGAAAAAAGAAGAGAACTGTGCTATAAAAGACCATAATAATCAGGGGGCTCCTTAAAATCATCAGACTAGGTCAAAAAACCTAGGGTTTCTCCATAAGGTGGAATAACTAATATGTAACTAGTAAAAGAATACAATAAATCCATACATGCTGACATAAAAAGACATCAAAGATACAATCAAATGGAAAAACAAGTTGAAAAACTGGTATATAGATTTTCATCTGTGTAAAGAAAAATATAAAAGGCAGATATATATACTTGTACATATCTAGAAAACTTCCAGAAGAATCCATAAGAAACTAAACAAACTGGCATAGGAAGTTTGGTGGACTTGCTTCCCTACTTTATACACTTTCTGTACCGTTGAGTAGGTGTCAATATTATAAAGCAATGAAAGTAATGATTAAAAAAAAAAAAAAATCACCAGTCTCACTGTGCCTAAAGCAAGGCCACTGTAGAGAACATAACCAATCACATGAAAGTTAAAAGTGACAGCTGGGCGCGGTAGCTCACGCCTGTAATCCCAACACTTCGGGAGGCTGAGGCAGGTGGATTGCCTGAACTTGGGAGTTTGCAACCAGCCTGGGCAACACCATGAAACCCTGTCTCTACTAAAACACAAACAATCAGCCGGGCATGGTGGCACGCACCTGTAGTCCCAGCTACTCAGGAGACTGAGGCAGGAGAATTGCTTGAACCCAGGAGACAGAGGTTGCAAAGAGCCAAGTTCATGCCACTGCACTCCAGTTTGGGCGACAGAGTGAGACTGCATCCCAAAAAAAAAAAAAAAAAAAAAAGTGACAGCAGTGGAATAAAATTCTAAGTCTTGTCCACCAGATCAGCATTCTTTAATCACACCATGCTTTTCTACACCCTGCAGTTTCTTCTTAGTTGTTCCTATGGCACTCAGTTCCTTACTAAAAAAAAAAAAAAAAAAAAAAAAAAGAAAATGCTGAAGAAGGAAAAGGCACAGGATCCAACAGGATGTGGCAACTTGGGGGATGACAAAAGTCAGCAGCACCAGGGAGCAAAATGGAAATAATTTTGTTTCTTTTCTTAGAATGTTAACTGTGGGCTTTCCAAAATTCCTCCTTCAACTTCATTTCTACTTTAGACAGGCTCTATTTAAGGGCCATCTCATCCCATCTCTTCCTATTCCCCTCCAAATACTGCATTAACCTTGCCTTTTCCTTTCACTTCTTCCTCCAATCCTAAACTTGATCATACCCTAAAAGTCTTTTTATAATACCAATAGTCTTTACAACTAGAACTACTGATCTCTGCATTTGTTCCCAACTTTCTCAAAAGCTGAGTCCCAAAATGCTGCCTCATATTTTTTCATCTTTCATCACTCCTCAACCATATGTAATATGCCCCCTGCCCCAATATTTCATAATTGCTCTCAATAAGCCCCTCCAATTGCCTGGATTCCCCAGCAAGCACTTTCTAAATAATATTGGTCCCTTCCCAACTGAAAAAATAATACTCATCTGTTGCTATAGACTGAATGTTTGTCCTCCCCACAAATGCATACTCTGAAATCCTAACCCCTGATGTGATTGTATTAGGAGGTTGGGCTATGGCAGAACCCTCATGAATGGGATTAATGACCTTAAAAAAGATCCCAGAGAGCTCCCTTTCTTGCCACCATGTGAGGATAATGTGAGAAGATGGCTGTCTATTAGCCAGGAAGCAGGCCCTTGCCAGAAGGAACCTGCCTGCACCTTGATCTTGGACTTCTTAGCCTCTAGAACTGTATGAAATAAATTTCTGTTGTTTATAAGCCATCCAATCTATGGCAGTCTGTTATTGTAGCCCAAACTGACTAAGACATCATTCTATCAGATGTCTAGTAATCCTCTCCAGAAGTCTATTCCTGTTTTGCTGCATTCTCACCAACACTGAATATAATTTAATTATTCTCAATATCACAGGTGAAATATCTCTCCTTGTTTTCATTTTCCTCTCTTGCAGTAAGGATGGCCATTTGACGCAGTTCCAGCAAACGAGTCTTAAACAGGTATCACTGAGTGGGCTTCTGAAGATTTTTAAAAAGAAAGTCAACACTGCTGCCATGGGCCTCGTGCCCTTTGCCCTCCCTTCTGCCTGCTTGATTCCTCATCCCAATTAACCCACACACATTGACCACATTAATGTTTCTATCCCCAGCTAGGATCATGATGGGCTTCCTGGAAAAGTCAAAGACTTCAGGACAGTCAGCTGCCTACAGGACAAAATACAGGGTCCTTTGATTAAGGACCTCACAATATCACTTTTTTTCCTGTATTTGTCAAGCCCATTATATGGCAAACTCTCCATTTCCAAAGCATGCCTTCCTTGGTCAGGTATCATCTGACAGAATGATCAAAGGGAATAAAAACCCACAGAAACCATCTAAGAAAAGTGAAGACTCACTGAAAAATGCAAGAGAATCTCACAGACCCTAAATGCAAGAAATAATAGGGGGCCTCGGGGGAATGAGAAGTCATTTGGCAGCTACTCTGCTGGCACCAATTGGAGCCCTGCTCTTTCAAGTGTGGTCTGGTAACCAGAAGTACTGGCATCGCCACATCACTAGGGAACTTCATAGAAATGCAGACTCCACACTTACTGCATATCTGTAAGACCTCAGGATTCATTTACACATTCACATTTAAGAAGCAAAAATCAAGAGCACTTCCTCCCTTCCACATTACCTTCCCTGTGTACAGCTGTCTTCCCCAACACCAAAATAAAAATATTGAACTGAGCATGCACTATAAGCTAGGCACTTGATATGTGTTATCTCATTTAATCCTCAACCCACAAGACTAGTACTATTACCTTCTTTTATTATTAACCCATTTTCAGAGATGAGAACACTCAACCCACTCAAAGTCACACAAATTAGGAAGCAACACAGTTGGGACTGGACTTCAGAAAAGTCTCCTCTAAAGACTGTGCTTTTAACCACTTCTGTCTGTGTGAAAAGGCTGTTAATTCTGTATCCTCCACACTATATGAACAATGCTTAGAAATGCCAAGGAACCCCCAAATTACTGAGTCCATTAATTTTGTCTGAGAAAGGCAGGATTCCAAAATTAAGAACTGAAAAGAGTCAGAATGAAGGGTTTGAAAAAAGATCTGTTCTTGGAATTAGACACAACAAACTTTGAAGACAGATAAGGACTACCTATCTCTATGAATCATCAAAATGTACTTAAACTTTACTCTGTATGACCGGCCAATAAACATAGTATGTTTATATGTTGCTAAAGTTGGATTTATGCCTAAAGTGCTAAATTCCAACAGAATGGGAAATATGTACCTTCCTTACCAGTCCGGAGGCCCCAGAGGCCTGTTCCTGCAGCCAGTGGAGATGGGCCCCCCAGCTCACCTCCTCCCTCCAGTTGTGAGATCACAGCAGGTTTGAGAAGTGGAAATCCTGGTTTGGGAGAGGTAAATAGGAGAGACAGATGAATAATCTCCCACAGATAAATTCCTAAGCCTCTTCTCAGATTGTCTCAGCAGTGGGGAGGGAAGGTAAGAACCCCAGGAGGTCCCAAGCCTCAGGACTATAGGAAAGTACTGTGGGGCTTAGGAAGGACTAGAGAGACCTTGGAGACGTCTAAGGCTTTGGGAGGCAAGTGTGGGGGTTGGGAGTGAAGGCTTGGGAAAGTGTGGGAGCGCCTGGGAAGGGCCCAGACCGTAGGCCTAGGAGACCTCATGCAGGGCAAGCAGGGAGATTCTGCCCAAAGGGATACCACTTTTCGACCTTGGCCTGAAATATCCAGAGTACACTGAGATCCTTGAAAAGACTCAAGATAGGTAGGATGAGGGGGGAACTGAAGATGCCACTATGGAACAGGAAGTCACTGGATTCCAGTGTTTCCAAAATATAGCTTTCATGTGTTGGATCAACAGTACATACCAGTTCCAAGCAAAGTCCTATATAGGCCTACAAAAAGCTTGGTGTTTGCCTCTGCCAGTAACCTCTTAGTCTAGGAAATTAGGAACAGCTCTGGGGTTCTCACTCAGTAAAGGATTACCAGAGATCCTCCCAGTAACCTGTAAGGGAGAAGCAAGCCAGAAACCCCAATTGGCAGAGTCCAGATTCCCAGGGCAGAGAGGACTTACCCAGGGAGGCCACATTCCCATAATTCTCCAGCATCACATCCCTGTACAGGGTCCTCTGTGCAGGGGACAGACCATTCCATTCCGCCTGGGTGAAGTACACAGCCACGTCCTCAAAGGTCACCAACTTCTGAAACAACAGGTTCCTGCTGCCCTAGGGCCAATTCCATGGCTCAGGCCCTAAGTGAGGGGCAGAGGGCAGTATAAGGGCTTGGGGAGGGTGCTTGTGAGAGCACAAAATATTAACAACAAGGGAAAGATCTCAGAAAAAACATCGAGAAAGTAAACTACAGAGCATCCAACTTCTCCCACAGCAGGGAAACCTCATGCCATTTTTCACACAAATAAGAGGTAACATAAGACAGGCTGAAAGAAAAAAAATTTCCATAAGCAAATTCTCTAAAGCCAACTCCACTCTTTTAGATAAGCTGCTCCCTCTCGGCAAACTTGGGGCAGATCCACCAGCAGTTCCCACACCACTCCCCTGAGGTCTTGGCTCCCCTGTGCCTAACCTCAGCCCTGTTCCGCTGCCCACCCATCACCCTCATCCTCACAGCTCAAGCCACCCCCAAACATCAGCCACGGCTTCTGTCTCATTCAGCCCCACCGGATTCCCCTCACACCCCCCCTAACAAGGGGCTGTGCAGCCTCTGCTTGAGCACCTCCAGCCACAGATGCTCCATGCTGCCCAGGCTGTGGGGTCTTCCTAGAAAGCCAGAATTTTCCTTACCCTCTCCTATTCAAGTCTAATCCTTTCCAGCTTCTCTGAAAGCTTCACTGTTTCTCCAAGAACATTTGGGAAAGCAGGGAGATCAGCCTTCCCACTGGCCGGCTACTCTACCTTTACATCACTAAGCTATGTGGTTGGCAAAAGCTTCACCACTCAGGGATGCTGCATGTCGCTCTCAGGCCCAACCACCCGTCCTGGGCAGCCGCAGCCTCTGGCAGGCCCACCCTCTGCCCACCTCAACCTGCTCTAACAACCACAGGGGCTCACTGGCAGGGATCTGCTGCTCAACTGTTCTCTGCCAGGATGTGTCTTCCTGGAGTCTACTGACCTCCACCCAACAGCAATTCTAGTCCAAACTCTAGGTGTTTCTGTGAGTCTTCTTTGTGTGACCTTCAACAAGGAACTTCTGCGCACAAAATATAATGTCTTCACTGTGTGCTGCCACCACAACCCCAGTAAGTTGGCACTTCCTTCTGAATTTACACCTCAGATGGGGTCAGAATCATCCATACAACAAACCCCAGCCAGAAACCTGGGAATTGTTCTTGACTTCCCGCCTTCCTTATTATCATGAATCCTTTGACTCTCTATGTCTGAAAGATTTTTTTTTTTTTTTCTTTGAGATGGAGTCTCACTCTGTCACCCAGGCTGAAGTGCAGTGGCGTGACCTCAGCTCACTGCAATCTCTGCCTCCCGGGCTCAAGCGATTCTCCTGCCTCAGCCTCCTGAGTAGCTGTGACTATAGGCACGCACCACCACACCCAGCTAATTTTTCTATTTTTAGCAGAGACAGGGTTTCACTATGTTGGCTAGCTGGTCTTGAACTCCTGACCTCAAGTGATTCACCGTCTCAGCCTCGCAAAGCGCTGGGATTACAGGCGTGAGCCACCACACCGGGCCGTGATTTTTCTCTTAAGCATTACTTGAATTGGATCCCTCTTTAATGATGGCTTTCCTTGATGAAGCCCATATCACGGGACCAGTGGGATTCTTCTTTGTGAAGTGGTCACCGTGTTTTTGAATCTTCCTTACCAGTTATTCCATACACATCACAAATTTGACCAAGTTAACATCACTGGTTCCACAGCTGCCTTATGGCTGAGCAGTTCTGAATCACAAAATAACTCTGTGATCCTGGGCAAGTTACTCTGCTCCCCTTTTGCCTTTTCTTTTTAGGTGGAAAGAGTACAACACAGCACTTATCACAGAGGGCGGCTGTCAGGACCAAACGACCGTACAAAGGACTTAGCATGGCGCCTGGAGCATAGTAAGCCTCCAACGATACAACTGGTATGACTATGGCTATGATTGTTCCCAACCTGTAGTCCATGGAAGTCCATGGATGAGCTTCGGGGGATCCGTGAAGTCCCTGAAAGTGTATGGAAAATTTGGTTTGCAGGTTTATTTTTCTGCAGGACAGGGTGGAAAGTTCTCAGATACCTAAAGTCTGCATGCTAAGCTTTGAAAGCTTCACAAGGACAATGAGACATTTCATCCCATGTGACTCTCTTTCCCCTTCCTTGACTCCACTCCCTGTGACCTTCCCTTATCCCTGAATTAAGAGGCACAGCCATCCTTCTCTGATCAGGTCCTGCTATTCCTCTTCCCTACATCCCCACCACAGATAGTCCAATCCTCTGTGACTGTCCTCCACTCACACTCCTGCACAGAACATCCCACAGGGGCAGCTTCCATGTCCCCATTCACCCAGAGCCCTATGCTGGGGGTGCTTCTGTAGACAGGAACAGAGACCCTCAGTGTGCAGAAGACCACCACCCTCCTGCTCTCCTGCTCACTCTCCCGCTGCCTCCACTCGCTACTGTCCTGGTCTTTGCCACCTGCCCCGCACAACACCTCTTTCCCGTAAGTTCCAGTCCAGCAGGTGGAAGCAGCTGTCATCCCGAAGCTCACCAGCTCCCCTTCTCAATGTTTTTCAATCTGAAACTGCCCAGAGGAAGAGCTGAAGGACCAACAGCTCACCTGGGGCCAGGCTGTCAGGTGCATGGCTGCCATCCCCTGGTCCCCCTCTCAGAGAAGGACTGGAGCTAAGGAGAAACACAACGAGAGACAAGTGTGAGGCAAGCCACCCCCACCAGAGCAACACAGCCCCTCACAGAAAATGCAAGACACAGGCAGCTTGCCTCCAAATAAGAGTGCGAACAGGAGCTGCCCAAGAAGGGAGTGATCTGTTCACTGGCTCAGTGCCTAGGACTCCAGGCTATGACACTGAAATTCACTGCCAGGAAACCTAGGACTTTACAATTCTGATACATATCACACACACAGAAGAGTGTATATATAAAATTTAAAAATAAACAAAAATTTAAAAATAATCATAAGAAGAAGAGTACATATAAAACCTCCTGGGCACGGTGGCTCGTGCCTATAATCCCAACACTTTGAGAGGCCAAGGTGGGTGGATCAATTGAGCTCAGTTCAAGACCAGCCTGGACACATGGCAAAACCCTGTCTCTACAAAAATTACAAAAATTAGCCAGGAGTGGTGGCACGTGCCCGTGGTCCCATCTACTCGGGAGTATGAGGTAGGAGGATCACTTGAGCCCGGGAGGTCAAGGCTGCAGTGAGCCAAGATCACACCACTGCACTCCAGCCTGGGTGATGAGAGTGAGACACTGTCTCAAAAAAATAAAAAATAAAAATAAATAAAATGTAGGCAGAACCTAAAAATAAAGCAAAGAGTCATGTATCAACAATTCAGTTTAAGAAACAGGACAATACCAAGATCTTTGACTTATTTCTCTTTCTCAAAACAAGTATCATCTTCAGTATCACAGCAGGAGAAGCTGGGCTGGCTGGGCTGCAGCCCCAGTACACAGGCCTAGGGAGTCAAGCCTCAGGGAGGCAGCGCCTGGAGAAGAGGGAAGCTGCCCCCCAGTATCCTGCCCCATTTCCTCAGAGCTCTGAATGTCTTCAAGAATCCTAACACCTCTGGAGAGGTCTTAGGAGGTCAGTCCTCCTAAGGACAGCACAGGCTATCCTTAGGAAGCTGAGCTGGAAGTTAGGGACCAGGCTGTTTCCCATACTTTCCAGTCTTCTGATAGTGAATGAGCCAAGGCCTGCACTTCTGCCTCAGCTCCTGAGAGAGAAGATCACTGTAGCAGCCAGTCCCGTGACCCAGCACCTCTTGTTCACTGTATTCAAAAACACATGGACTGGTAATTTTCTGACTTTTACTGCCCTTGAAGTCATTCTTGAAATTACATTTTCCTAAAGAATATCATCCATTTCTTCCAGGATTTCAACTTTACAAGTACAGAGTTGCAGAAAATACTGGTTCATGATTCTTTCCATTTCCTCCATATCCAGAGCTAGTTTGCTTTTCCCACTTCTTCTTTTGAATATATGTGCTTTCTAGACCTTTTTCCCAGGGTTAGAGTTAGAGACTAAACATTTATGTCCCTGCCAAATTCATATGTTGAAGCTCTAGCTTCATGAGACAAGTGACTGTACTTGGAGACGGGGCCTGTGAGGACGTAATAAGGATAAATGAGGTCCTAAGGGTGGGACTAAAGGTCCTAAGGTTAAATGAGGTCCAATAGGGCTGGTGCCTTTACAAGAAGAAGAAGAGACCCAGAGCCCACGCACCCACTCACCCCCTACCTCCCCCATATGAGGACACAACGAGAGGGCTACTATCTATGAGCCAGGAAGACAGCCCTGGCAGGAGCCAAAATCAGCTGGCATCTTGATCCTGGACTTCCAGTCTCCAGGACTGTGAGAAGTAAGTATGTTGGTGAAGCCACCTAGTCTATGGTATTTTGTTATGGCAGCCCAAGCAAACTAATACAGTTAGGCTGAGCTGTGGTTTACTTATTTTAATGTGGTTTCCTTTTGTTTTCAAAGAACCAGCTTTTCTAGCTGAGCAACACTACTTTCTTCTATTTGTTTCAAATTCACTACTTCTGTTGTCTTAGTTTCTTCCTTCAACTCTGTAAGGGGCAGTGTAAGCACCACTCCAATCCTCTTGTCTCATCCTTAGTCCAGTTCTACAGAGGCCTTAGTCAGCTTTGTGAAGCTGCAACCTACCGGAACCTTCACAAGCACCTACATCACCTATACCTGGTTCCTGCCCTGGGGCTTCTCTGGTGTCCTATGTGGGACATCTGTAGACACCTGCTGGGCCCTGAAGTGCAGGGGTGTAAACACCTGTGGGACCCCCTTGACCAATGGCGGAGAGAAACCAATGGATAAATGTTTTCCCCGTCGATCCCCCAGCAGGGCAGCCTTAAGACTCCAAGGCTCCTCAAAGGCCCTGCAAGGCAGAGCCTGTTGAGGGCCGAGCACACCAATGCATCCTTGTACCAGTTCTCCCATCTCTATTTCACTCCCCTTGTCTTTCACTCTGCCCCTGCGACCACATTCCTAAATAAATTCCTACATACAAATCTTTGTTCCAAGTTCTGCTTTTGGGGAAGCTTAGACTACAAAAGGCTTTTTCCTATTGACTTATTCATTTATTTTCATTCTTTCCTGTTTGGCAATTAAAGCCTATAAGGCCACAAATTTTCCTCAGGATACACTATTTGCCATATTCCAGAGGTTTTTATATTTCATGTTTTAATTACTGTTTTATAGTCAGTCAGCAATTCTGTTTTGTCTCTGACCTAGTAATTGCTTAGGATTGTTTGCTGTTGCTAATTTCTTCTGTTTATAAGTTCTGGCTTTACTGCATGCTGGTTATATAATTCAATCTACCAATTCTACTTTACACATTTTTCAGGATTTTTCTGTGACTCGTGTCCCTTTAAAAAAATATATTATCTGGTGTTTAAAAAGAAAACTTATTCTGTGATGGGAGAATATACAACTCCATTTTTAGATAAACCAACTCTACCAGTTACATACGTAGTGTGTGATAGGTACCCCACTCAGCTAGTCAAGGGTGTATACCCGCTGCCTGAACCTTGAAGGCTGGGCAGTGAGTCAAGACCATGGGGCTCAGCAGAGGAGCAGGTGTTTGCAAGAACATAAACATCCTAGAAAGTACTGAGAACCTACCAAGAAAAGTCTCATCGTTTAAATGCAGTAGACAGAGAGCCAGAAAATTCTCTTAAAAGTACTGAGACGAGGGGCAGCACAGGTCTCTAAAGCTGTCCTGCTGCCATCCAGGAGTAAGTATGTAAGTCCTGATAAACTCATCTACTTGCCAAGCTGGACTTGTCCAAGGCATTCTTTGGTCTCTTGGCTCCCTCCCAATCCTTCCCGTTATGATATTATACAGATTTTCTACATAATCCTTGATTACTTTTACCTAATTAAACCAAGATGGCCAATGAAGAAGTAACTCTCACAAAACACTGAGCTCAGATGTGTCATGAGCAAATCCTTTCAATGTTTCGGAAATGAGTAATTCTAACACTATGTAAACCGTAGCAGAGCACAGCAAAGTAAGTTTCCCAATTCTTTTTATGGTGCCAGCACAATACTGATGCAAAACTATAGACCAGTCTCATTTATGAATTCTAATGCAAAAATTCTATCAAGGAATAGACTCCAGTAGTTCATTAAATACATCATGAGTAAGTAGGATTATCCCACGAAGATAAACCTCAACGTTAGGATACTAATTAGTATATTTTTCACATTAATAAATCAAAGAAAGAGAAACACACTGTCCATCTCAACAGATACCAGGCCAGGCGCGGTGGCTCACGCCTGTAATCCCAGCACTTTGGGAGGCCGAGGAGGGCGGATCACGAGGTCAGGAGATTGAGAACATCCTGGTGAACACGGTGAAACCCCGTCTCTACCAAAAATACAAAAAATTAGCCGGGCATGGTGGTGGTGGGCACCTGTAGTCCCAGCTACTCCAGGCTGAGGCAGGAGAATGGCGTGAACCCAGGAGGCGGAACGTGCAGTGAGCCGAGATCATGCCACTGCACTCCAGCCTGGGCGATGAGTGAGACTCTGTCTCAAAAAAAACAAAAAACAAAACAGATACCAAAGGTGTTTAACATAATTCAACATTTGTGCCTAATTTTAAAAATTTGCATCCTAGAGAAACTTTCATACATAGGAGGTATGTACAAAAACGTTATCAGCACATTTTAATAACAAAACACTGAAAACAACCCACATGTTCACTGAAAATACATCGATAAATTTTCATACAGTTTTTACAATGGAACATAACCCAGAAGCTACACACAGAAAGAATTTGGGAACTTAACATCGAATTATGAGAGTCCCAGATGACTTATACACACAATGGTGCCACTTATATGAAGCTCAAAAAAAAAAAAATTTTAAGTACGTTGCTTACAGACACATGCATATGTACTTATTTTTTAAAATAATAGGGCTACAATTAACACAAAATTCAAGATAACTGTTACCTCTAGGGGTTGAAGGCTGGGAGTTGGGTTGAGGAGGAGGAATACATTGATAAATTCAGCAGTACTGGCAATCTTCTCTTTCTTAATTGAGTGGTATGTTCATGGATGCTTTTTATTACTATATATATAACATATAAATACATATTGTAAATAAATATATAAACCAGCAAGGATAGGGTGAAAGTGAGGACCCAAAATGTAATACAAAGAACAGCCAATGTGCCTAACAATGAACATAACTACACCTAAGTGGTAGGAAACAAAAGGGGTAAGCAACTTTGGAAAACAGTATTTTGACTAAACACCATAAGATTAAAGATAAAAAGACCTGTATTCAAGTACTGTACTTTAGGTAGTAAATTTGCTTTTCATGGGGGTGTGAATTAGCGATTCTGAAACTATTAAACATATTCTAAAACTGAGTGAACTCGTAATTACGTTGTGGAAGTCATTCCCAGGTCATTGTCACCCTAGAGCCAAGAGAAGTAGGGCTCAGTTACCTTTTAGGGCTGACACTGCTCCAAGAGACAGTGTCCTCCAAAAGCCGGGCTTCTGCTGCCGGGTGACTGGGAGGGGCTCTGTGCTCCCACGCGGCCCTAATTCTTGACCCTATGTCAGGAGCCTGGGACCACACGGTCCATACTTGGGATGCACATAGGTTAATGTTCCTGCCAGACCTCAGCATATCAAACGACTTGTGGTATCACCTCGGGCCGCTTCATGCCCGCAAATATTCCACCCTTTAGCTGCACCGACACATCTTCCCCCAGCTGATCAAGTGCTAAATGCTCGGGACCTCGTGGCTGGGACAGCAACATGGATTTCCCCTTCCAATGGGCGCAACCTACTGAGCCACAAACCCCAAAGCTGGAGTCGAGGAGCGCGGAAGAGCACCCCGGGCCGCCGCCCTGCTCCCTCTCCCAGCCTGGGCCTCCTGGCAGCGTAGGCCACCGGAGACCCAGCTGCACCCAGGGTGGGAGTGAGTCTCAGCCAGACCCAGAGCCTGTGGGACAGGGCACGGCCCACGGGGCCCGGAGCCCTGCACTCACCTCCGCAGCCAGCTGCTCCCCGGCGCTGCCGGATGTGCGTCACCAGGCGGCCGGGCCTCTCTAGGAGCAAGGTCTCTCCGCCTTGGCGGTGGTCACGCCCGGCCAGCTGTGGCCGCAGCCCGGGCGGCTAGCTCAGGTCTGGCCCACGCAGACTGTTACCTCTGGGGAATAGGGCAGGTAAGAATTAGAGCCAAGCAGGGACCCAGCCCGGGGAGGTGAAGCTGCAGGTGCGGCCACGTGTGGGAGTCTTGGAACTGGACCAGTGGATGGCGCGCTGTCACTCACACCCACTGCCCCCTTTTGCTAACAAATAGTTTGTAATGTCCATCTTACTCTCCTGACCTGATACTCATACATAATGGCCTAGAAAATCATACATAACATACACACCTACATGTTAAAAACTAATGTTATGCCTTAAGTGTAATGAAAGAGGAAAAAAAAGAGGAACGTCATCTGTCACATACTTCAATGTGTTTGGTCTTGGCTGCTGCAGGAGACCTAATGAGGTGGTCGCCTTTACACATAGACATTGTCTGAATGCCACAGCCACAAAGCTGTGACTTATATTGTTTCAAAAATCACAAAATTGTGATGCAAAATGGCAAACACATTTTGGTGAAGTTCTGAATGAAACACAGGACAATCGTCTCTTGATTATACAATAATTACATTCCTGGAACATCAGTGTATGTTAAAACTGTGCAAAAATACATGTTTATCCAGAAAACAGGTTTAGATTCAGATAATTTAGACATAGAATTTTCACCTACCTGAATGTTCAAGACATTTGAAAGTGAACATTTTTTCAGTGAGCAGGACTGTCCTGTACATTGCAGGATCCTGGCTCCCATCCACAACACTAGTAGCAATGTTACCACTGACACCAAATATAACAAAATACCTACCATAAAATTCCAAAATGAGCTCTGGGGGAAGGCAGACAGTACTAAAAGCCACTAGATTGAACGACTCTTAAATTACCCACCCCCTCACACACCCCCCAACCCTGGTAATGTAGGTTTTTCTTCCTTCCAGCACTGATCCATCCAACGCTACTGCACTGGGAAACTGGTATTTGGCCCCCACTTGCCTCTGTGGCCTCTTATCACTCCCATTCATTCCCTGACTCCACTTCAGCCCTACATGCTAAAAATGCTGTTATCTAAATCTAGAATGCCCTTCCCTTCCCATTCCTACCCTCCATTTTGACTGTTACTGGAAGTGTGAGCTCAAATCCAATTTTTGCATGGGAAGCAAGCCTTCCCTGATCATCCAGAATAAGGCAGGACACTCATTTATGTGCCATCACAGCATTGTGTACTTATTTAATGGTGATAGCTTATTTATATGTCTGTCTTCTCTGGTGGCTTCAGGGAACAGACACTATGTCTATCTTGTTCAACATCATCATCCTCAGCTAGAGAATAACCTGGCAGAAAGAAGGAGAGCAATAAACATTTGTTGTTGACAATGGTCCAAAGGCTCCAGCCATAACTCTTAGGCAGAAGCCTACTTTGTGTGTCCCCAAGGGTAGGATATGTCTTATGCCTTGGACCATGACAGTGACCATGGCCAGGTGCCCTTCTCTGCCTTGCCCTGACCCTGATCTTCACTGTTTTCCAAAATGAGCTCATTAAGAAAATGATTGGGCAGAGTAATAGCTGGGGATTACGTTGCTCTTGTCAATAATTTCTGGTTCTCACGTCTTTCTAGGGTCAGAAATCAGGAGTGAGGACTTGTTGAAAGAAATAGGAAGGAATCAGCAGATCACATAAATGCTGGCCCCAAATGTTTGCATCACAAACCCATTGCATAATTTTACAGATGAGAAAATAAAGCTCTCTAAATAACCACAAAACTCCTACCCTACTTCAGACATATCAGAAAAATGAGATAATAATGCACAAACCAAGTTTCAAAAGCTCTACGGTAGGTCTGGAGAGATGAAGATCAGTTCTCGTCTGTCAACCCCTGTTCTTCCATTCTTATATGGTTACAGAATTTCTAACAAGGAACATAAGAGGTCAGGGAAAAAGCACACATTTCCCAGCATTCTTTAAAGCAAAGTGTGTCCATGTGACCAACTTCTGGCAAACGTAAGAAAATGTGATGCTGTGTCCTTAAAGACAAGGGACATGCCCTCCCTGGCCCCAGACCTTCATCGACCCGGTGGAATGTTGACAAGGGAGAGCATCAGAGCATTTTGGACCATGTGAATAAGGGTGTGGCTGCTGGGCATGACAGAGCAACCAAAAGGAGGAGTCACAGAGCTGCTATATCAGCCCCAGATGGCTTATTTTCTGATGATACATGAGAGAGAAATAAACTTTTATCAAATTTAAACCACATTTATTTGGGTTCTTCAAATTAATTTCCAAGCCCATAGTCTAACTAATACCCCTAGAAATGAGGAAGGATGGAAAAGTCACACAACACAACAGTTAAAAAATTAAGCTGGCTCTTCGACCACAGCATTCTAGAAATTCATTTCCACACCAGGCCTGCAGCCATGTAGTGTCAGTTTCCTCCTGCTCAGCTCTAAGGCTTCTTCTCCTGCACCCTTTGTCCTGCAGCCCCAAGACCTCCCCAAAGCCCTTCCTCTCTGACCACCAGGGAAAGCTGACAATCTTCTCATGTTAAAAATCTTTTTTGTTGGCAGGGCGTGGTGGCTCACACCTGTAATCCCAGCACTTTGGGAGGCTGAGGTGGGGGGAATCACCTGAGGTTGGGAGTTCGAGACCAGCCTGACTAACATGGAGAAACTCTGTCTCTACTAAAAATGCAAAATTAGCTGGGCATGGTGGCACATGCCTGTATTCCCAGCTACTCAGGAGGCTGAGGCAGGAGAATCATTTGAACCCAGGAGGCGGAGGTTGTGGTGGGCTGAGATTGCACCATTGCACCCCAGTCCGGGCAACAGGAGCAAACCTCCATCTCAAAGAAGAAAAAATCTTTCTTGTTGTTTCTGGTTTTAATAGGACAGAGTAAAGATGGCTTTGCCTGCTGCTTCTCATTAAAACTGTGGCAAAACAACAGTCTGGTTGATGTTCATTCCAGGAGTTCAAGGCTGTTTTCATGCTATAAAATTTTTACTTACTTATTGATGTGAGCTGTGAACAAATCATTTAATCTATGTGGAGAAATGTACTAGGGTAGGGTGAGGTCTTATTCTCAAAGCAACCAAACATACATAGGAATAAGTTTATGAATAAATGTATGAGACATATATCAAGAAAATTTTAAACATTTGGGGACTAAACCAATGAAAACCCCTTGTATAAATGGAAAGGCACAGGTAATCCTTCAGCAAGAAGGATAGTTTTCTTTATTTAATCCATAAGTCCAATGTTATACTAAATAAGACCCCTATAGGATTTGTTTTAAAACTTGTGAAAATGATTCTAAAATTTACATAGAAAAAATATTAGAAGTGGCTGGGCACAGTGGCTTATGCCTATAATCCCAGCACCTTGGGAAGCCAAGGCAGATGGATCAACTGAGCTCAGGAGTTCGAGACCAGCCTGGCCAACATGGTGAAACCTTGTCTTTACTAAAAATACAAAAATTAGCCCAGCGTGGTGGCACACACCTGTAATCCCAGCTATTGGGGAAGCTGGGGCAGGAGAATTGCTTGAATCCAAGAGGCAGAGGTTGTAGTGAGCCAACATCATGCCACTGCACTCCAGCCTGGGCAACAGAGTGAGACTCTGTCAAAAAAAAAGAAAGAAAAAGAGAGAGAGAAGAGAAGAGAAGAGAAGAAAGAAAAGAGAAGGAAAGAGAAGGAAACAAAGGAAGGAAGATGCTTATAAGGTACTACTGAAACTTAGGAATGCACAAGTATTGAAAGTCAAAGAATGGAAAATAGATATATCTGACAAGTATTAAGTTAAAGGAAAAATGGCATAGCTATATTAGTATCTCATAATAATAAGTTTAAGACAATAAATATTATTAGGCAGAATTCTATTGAGGGCAATGTAACAAATAATATAAACTAGAATCTAGAAATTTAGAATAAGATATAACATTCAACATGATTTCAAATACTTAACTCACAAGAAAGTGTACCCAGGTACCAAAACCAAACAAGAAACTAAAACCAGAGGGGTTGGTTTGGACTGAGGAGCTCAGCTGATGCTTTGGCCAACAGGAGTAGGAATGGTGAAGAGTTGTAAGTCTTGATATCTGAGAAAGCAGAATTATAATATGCAGGAGACATATTATAGGAACAAGGAATAGGAAGAGAGACTTTTCTCACACACATATACTCGTCCAAATGCCTGGACTCATGAAAGGATAATTTTCTTTTAAATCTCATGAACAAAGAGAGATAACAAAAAATCTTATGATCCTTGCCTAAGCTTTGAAGTAGTAGAAATGTCTTCTAAAAATTTATAATCATAGTTTGCATCATTAAGTAGAGTTTAAATTAACACTACCTACTTGGACCAGTAACTCACAATTCAAGAAATTACATTAAAAACTAATCCTGAGAGACTTCTGAAATAGTCACAACAGAACTCATAGCCAATGACATTTAAAAGTTATTACAACCACATCTGATACATCTAAAAGTTTGGTAGAGAAATGAAAGATATAAAAAAGGCCCAAATCAAACTTCTAGAGATGAAAACCTATAATGTGCAATAAAAATGCATTGGATGGGATTAACAGCAGATTAGACATTACAGAAAAAAGATGAGTGAATTTGAAGACATAGCAATAGAAACTATTCAAAAAGAAACACAGGAAAAAAAATTAAAAATAAAGGTACAGGACTGAGAAGTCCTGATTTCTTCACCTACTAGCTATGAGACCTTGGACAACCACTTAGCTTTTCTGAAATTCCATTGATTCATCTGAAAAATGAGATAATAGTGCACAGTTGCTGTAAATAGTACATATATTTTTTTACTTAAAGTACATACAACAGGGACCAGGATTCAGTAGTTGCTCAATTAATGTTAACTTTTCCCCTCCTCTGAATTATTTGTGGACCTGATTACACTTTTTTATTTGTCAATAAGGACGTTAGTAATACATAAGTTTGTAAATATGACATATTATAACTAGGAGAAAGACCTACAGTGCCAAACTCCTTCAAAGTTTTTTGTGCATAACCTCACAGAAACTTGCTAACAACAATCAAGTTCAGAAG